CATGACTATCATTCATTCTAGGACTAGGAGACGCGAGACCGCATTGCACACATTGTCTAAACAAGCTTAATCGTGTACTTAGCAGGTTTACACTTGTTACTTATCTCGTCGAGGTTTATTCACTCTTTGATAACAGGGAAGAACATACTCAAATTTGTTCAGACAATGTCCGCCATAGGTGCGATAGGGGGAGCGGCTCTCCCCAGGTGAAGAGGGTCTCGGCTGTTTCCGACCTTCCAGGTGAAGGGGGTATGTGAGCCTGGGGAGGGGGGGGGGTGAGGGGGGAAGAGAGAAAAGGTAAAAAAGCGTGGTATGAGGAGCTCTGATTTGTACCTTATTTAGGCACAAATTGAAAAATTTTTTAAAAATTTTAAAAGAAATTAAAAAATTTCAAAAAATTGACTTTATGAAGATCTGTGCTCCTGTTTCATTGCATCAACAAAAAACGAAAGCAATAAGGTTTATCCCAAAAGATGTACAAGTTAGGAACAACTTCAATTGCTGCACATCGTCATCAACAATATCACTACCGCTAACGTCAGAGACAACAAGTTCGCTGCCTGAAAAATTTTCTTCTTCTTCCAAAAGGTCGTCGGAGTAGAAGTAGAATTGCGTGAAAAAGCGTTCTAAGTTGAAAATGGATTTGAAACGTTCTTCTTCTCTAAGCGCTTTTGTGATTTTTTTCGACCTCTGGTAGCACCGGGAAAGTCAGCAGGTAGGTGACCATTCTCTTCATACCATCTTTTAGGATATTTCAAGAAGTCATACGGTAACAGCCTGTCTGGACCACTTATACCAATCCTTCAAATGAAGTTTTTAGATAACAATATGTTTAGTAGAAGGTTGACAAACCTTAAGTAGTTGCTTAGATGCTCCACCGTTGTGCGACTTCTGCGTTGTGTTCTGATAACAGAGTAGATAGAAAATCCTCTCTCCACCTCTGCCGTGCTAGTCGGAATGGAAACTAGCTTTGCTAGTAAGTCCATCAGATTTTTGCGGTAAGTAATGGGGAAAGAGCCAGATCGCATATGCTTTCGCAACACGGGAAGGAAATATTGCATACTTTTTTTGGGCCGTGTCGAACTCTGGCTTCACCTCCTCTCATACGTCCTGTTAGCTGAAGCACAGAGTTTGGTTCACACTCCAGTCGGTATCTGAGAGCAGTAGCTATGCTTTGTACTAACACCTTCCTTTTGTTCATATCCATGTTTGTGAATTTAGCAGCCTTGAAATCTTCAGCAACCTGAAGATCAGCAGTGGACTTTCTGGACATTTCCTCATTGAAACTAGGCAATCTGCTTGGATTCCTTATGTAGGAAATCAGAGAGTTTCGCTCAATTGTCAACTCTGGATCAATGTCGACAACATTTTCGTCGGCGTAAGATTTTCCTTCTGCCTCGCTGTTGAACTGGAACACATGCGAGTCATCTGCGATTTTGTAAAGTATTCTGCCTGCCGTTTCCTCTTCAAACTGCCACCCTTTCCAAAACATTGAGGGATAATAATAGCATGTTATTCTTCTGAATGTCTTAAACTTTTTGATTCATTGAAACCAATCATTTTCTACAAATTAGATAAGGTGAGTCTAGAGCGTTTTCACGAAAGTGACCTTCTTCAGCACTAGGTTTACAGAGTATAGATTCCAAAAATGGGCGGCTTTGTGTGAAGGTGTGGAAATTCACCAATCTCCCATAGTTTTTTGGGTGTGTGCTAATAATGATGGCATAACTGTCAATCAAATGCGCATTTTTTACCAAAAAAACATAAACATATAAAACCATAAGCACGCTTAAATAGACGCGTTCGCCCACCTTCCCGTCAGTGCTGATAACGATGTCAATCCACAGCACATTTTTTACTATTAACTTGCTCCACCTCGCTCTTATTAGGTCGTCCCGAAAGTTTTTGTTCCCGATTTTCAAAAATTCATAACTTCTGATTTTTCCAACCGATTTGACTGCTTTCACTTTTATTTGAACTCATGCTCTTTATAATGGCATTTCAGCTGCTCAGTAATGGTCACCTGTTGCGTAGATGGGAGCGATAGAAGAAAAATGGTCAAAATTTGAATCTTCTGTGTAGGGTCATAAAAAATCGGAGACTTGCAACAAAAATCGGAGCAATCAGTATTGTAGGATCTTTCACCAGCTCTGTGCGTTTCTATGGAAAGTTATGATTCCCCTGAAAAATGTCAAAATAAACTAAATTCGCCCTTTTGTATTGCTTGCTCGAAAATCATAACTTTTCGTAGAGACTCTCAATCAGCGCAAACTTTGCACTGTTAGAAAGAGTTGGTGAAAGAACCTACAATACTGACTGCTCCGATTTTTGTTTCAGGTCTCCGATTTTTCATGACCCTACATAGAAAACTCAAATTTTGACCAATTTTCTTCTGTCGCTCCTATCTATGCAACAGATGACCATTAGTAAGCAGATAAGATGTCATTATAAAAAACATGACTTACTATTTCATACGAAAATGGAAGCAGTCAAATCGGTTGGAAAAATCAGAAGTTATGAATTTTTGAAAATCGTGCGCGAGAACTTTCGGGACGACCTATACAATGTGTTGGCTTTTATGGGTCACCGGAGCAAATGATTTTTAGAGCGGGAAGCAAAAAGCCCTAACATGCTTTATACCATTCGAAAGCTGAAATCATGGAGAATCGAAGTAGACCATCGACTTTTTTCTAGGTCTTCTGTGCCGCGAGATATGAGGGATTTTATGTACTCCAAAAACCAACTGCTTTTTTGTTCTCATTTCTGCTCTCCAAATGAATGCTACGAGGATAAATAGATAATATAAATAAACATAAATACCGTTTCTTTTGTAAATCAATGAGTGACTTGTTGTTTGAGGTACTTAGCCTGCAAAACCTTAATAACGATTTTTATCATATTCTTAGAGTACAATACCAATCTCAGCCCAGATGAAGGGGGGTCATGGTCATCGGGAGTTTGGCCTCAAAGTGAAGGGGGTAAGATCCATCCAGGGCCCGGCACAGATCGTCTGGAAGCAGGCTGGACTTCGTTTTCAGAGCAAAAAGCAAAGAAGATATCGTTTTTGGTGCCGAAACAAGAATAAGCGCCATTTAGTCGAACACAAGCTTCTCGGACAGGTTACCACACGATTGACATGCTCTATCGTGTATGGCGGAAAGTGCGCGCGATTTGAAAGCAAGGCTAAAATAAACAAATTGCTTGTTTACAGCGCACACAGAACCGTTTGACACCAAAATTGGACTGTGAGCATAGAATATTATTTAAGGAAGAATTATGTAAAAAGTATTGGAAACTTATGTGAAGGAATGCCTTTTCCAAATTTAGATCGTCTCCAGACGGCCACCAGACGATCTGAGATCGTCTGAAGCATATATTTCTGTCAATTCACATAAGTTTCGAATTTTTCTATCATGGACGGTTTCCCCGGTTAAAAATTTATCCCTGAGCATGAAGATATTTTCATATCATTGCCTTTCCTTTGTTTTTTGCCTTAATATTTTCATTTATCGCCTTGGAAAATATCGCGCTCCAATGCCAAACCCTTGCGCATGCGTAGTATTCAGCTCCAATTTGGGTTTTCACACTTATTTCACATTTTTTTCTTTCAGATCAAAAAACCTCTCTCGTTTTTATCTTCTTTGAAGTAGGTGGGTCAAAGGGGACTTCGTAAATTTTCTGACAGTCAGGGTAGACTTCGTTTTCAGAAACCCTAGGAACCGACTCGTGCCGGGCCCTGGATCCATCACTCTCCCTATCGCAACTATGATGCCCGCAATACGGTCTCGCTTCTCCTAGTCGTAGAATAGATAGTACATGGTGCGCCATGTCAGCGCACATTGGCAATTCAAGATGAAGAACAATTTTGAAAATTTACAAAAATTATTTTCGACCTCTCCGTATCAAATCTTACACGACGCTCACAAAAATAAAAATGTTCTACGAATTTTTTTTATTCATTTTTCTCCCCCTTTTTGAGATGCTTGCGGCACCAAAGTGCTGTTGTGAAAGAAACAGTGCGAAACAGTGTTTTAAAAATTTGTAGGAAAGAAAAAAACACACTGAGACGTAGAGAAAAAATCAAAGAAAAAATGACAATTTTGAATGTGATTACAAAGTTATCGTAAACTTGCTAGCTATTTGTGCATTTGTTGTGTACGCCCTATTTTGCCCTACATTTGGAGCAAATCTGACTGTTTTGGAAAGCTTCCGGAAAATTCTGGAATTTTACATAAAAAGTGTAACAGAAATTATCCGCCAACCTAATATAAAGCTGAATGTCTGTTTGTCTGTCTGTGTGTATTTGTGCGGTATAGAAATTTTTATTTGTAAACCTATTTGGACCAAACTTGGCACACATACTTGGTACGATAGTGCAGAGGGACTAATCCCGGTATGTGAGAGTTTGAGCTGTTGATATGTATTCACTGCTCTTATAGACGTGTACATCTTGCTCATAGAGCAATGCATGTTTTTACCGATGAAGGACAACACATTTCCGCGTGTCTGAACCACTTGTGCGACGTCCGTCTTCTTCTCGTTTCGCTTTGTATCCATCGGCGCACTGGCGTAATTCAATTGAGGGCCGCAGCCGATTGTGCAGTTTGACGAAAGCATTTGATGCTTGTGCTGCGTGTACATAATGTTCACTTGAGCCAATCTCTTTTTTCTCTGTCTAATAAAACAAAGATTCGGATGCTCGTTTTCTATACCGATTTTCATCAATTCTAATTTTTCTCGATGACACCTCCTCTATAAGAGCAATGAAAAGTTTGCTGGAAACGTTCTCACAAATCAAAAGTATATTTTTCTGGTGTTTCGCTGCAATCTTAACACACTGTGCCGTCGTGGTGCCGACAACACTTGCGTGAAAAGAACGGTCACGTTATCATGTTTCGCGTCCTTTGACCACTTTAGCGCTAAATTCTTGCCGGCGAGAGCGCTATGTTGTCGAATAAACTGAAATATACCATTTGTAAAAGTCATAAACTTCTTTTTAGTTGGCTTTATCGCATTCGCCCTTCAGTAGTGCACAAACCATTTGTAAAAGTGACTACTGAGAATTTTACGAACAACTTCGCTGGTTTGGAACCGACTCCAAATCAATATAGATGGCATCCGTTCCCATTTCCTAAGAGGGAAGGAGTGGATTTTGTGCAGGTATCTTGAATCACTTGCGATGGTGAATAAACATGGATTCGCAGCACTTTGCTTAGGGTCTGTACACGATCTGCGGTGGCGGCGATGTGGTAACCCGCACAGGATTGGCAATTCATCAATATTCCTGCAATGCTTCGATGACTGCAAAAGCTATGTATAACGCGGATGGCGACTTTCTTATTGGTAGGAACCAAAATTTTGTGCTACATGAATACGTGCGCTCTGACAGTATTCTTAGCTGCGCCCAAAGCCTGTTTGTGCTAGCGCCGTGCCAGCGCGAATCGGTCAATGGTCGGGCGCTTCCACATGCACGCTATCATGGCACCAGAAGGGCGCTAGCGCGAGAGGCAACTCTGCACACAGCCTCGTAGCCCAGTAAATTGCAGCTCAAAAGGACAAATCGAGTTGTTCCTTGCTTTGCTCCATAGATGAGTGCTTATATTATAATGAGTACAAGTATTGTGATCCCGCCCTTAGTCCAGCGTAAACATGTGCTTGCTCTTAACAACGTTTTCATAATACAAAATCATTCACTCGCTGCCATTCAATCACTTTTGCATGAAAACAGCGTAAGTTCCTTTTTAGAATATCGCTACGCTAAGAATGATTTTTTCAGTTCCTCAAGAAGGTCAAATGCAGGTTATCACCGAATTTGGACAAATTCTTGTTGGAATCCAGGAGATTGTCGTCATTCCACAAGGTCATCACTCAACCCTTAGTATCTATTGAGTTTTTCAAATGTTCTACCCGTTTTCGAAGTTCAGCTTTGATTCACCATAATCCTTCTTAACAGTCAGTGCCACTGTAATGAACTGTGTAACAATCTGCAAATCTTTGGCAGTTCTATGCCTAATCAGAAGTTGGAGCGACAAAAAGATTTTAGGGAGAAAATCGACGAACATTTTCCTTCAAGAACCTTTGTCTCGAGAAACTATAAATTGGTTTTTAGTAAAATAAAATTGAAATAGCATAAACATTGCTCAGCCTGAACTCAGGAGTCGGCTGAACCAGTGCTATTCTTGCATTTCTCCTAAAATCCCATAAACATTGCGTTTTCAAATATTTTTCGACTTTGTTCGCCGCTGATAACTGTGAAAATTATCTCGTTTTTTGCGTATCAAATGTCGCATGACCAATCTCACCATATAAAGCGAAGTTCCATGATTACATTCCGCTTATGGTTTTTGTGCGACCTTTGATGACCAAAACGATAGGTCGTGTAAATGCTAAGATTCACATATTCAGATTTCTTTTAGAATTGTAAGTAAGCATCTCGTAGCACATCTTTAGCAAACCTTTCATAAATTTGCTCTTCTGCCTGAAGAGGAATAAGTTTGTCTCAAAGCAAAAAAGATCTTTCAAAGTACGAAGCCTATGAACAAACTCTTTAAAATGGAAATATGAACTAGAAAAAGAGCTTTGAAGTATACAAGCAATGTCAAATCTTCGACTTAATCTCATATCTTCTTATATATTAGGTTGATTCATAATTAATGCACGTTTTGAATTTCAACCGCAGTAAGTCATACACTTTTCATTCTTATATAGGCTTCAAAGTACCATTGGATAGAGCAAAGCAAGCTCTACAAGATGGCACTCATGCCGTTGCGCCCTGCTCAATCCACGGAGAGTTCGAACTCAAAATCTAAAGATTTCCAAATGCCCAAAAAATCGAAAAAAATCAGATCTTCGTCCAAATAATTTCTACGGACCTCCCACTCGCTCACATCAATACTATCGCTATCTGATATCCATATGTGCGATTGCCGTATTTTTCCCTTGACTAGAAACTGAGATAACGAAAATTTCCCTGATTTTCTCAAAGCAATGCTGAGCCGTTTTTGCATATGTAGTTCTATACTACAAGCCTAGGTAAGTATAACTGTAGATTTTCAGCCCATTCCAAGCGGTAGTTTTCGAAAAATAACGAATTCGGATTTTTTCGTTTCAGTTTCAGTGCTAAAATCGACATTTCTCGAAAAGTACCATTCGAAATAGGCTGAAAACCTACAGTTATGCTTACCCAGGCTTGTAGTATAGAACTACATATGCAAAAACGGCTCAGCATTGCTTTGAGAAAATCAGGGAAATTTTCGTTATCTCAGTTTCTAGTCAAGGGAAAAATACGGCAATCGCACATATGGATATCAGATATCGATAGTATTGATGTGAGCGAGTGGGAGGTCCGTAGAAATTATTTGGACGAAGATCTGATTTTTTTCGATTTTTTGGGCATTTGAAAATCTTTAGATTTTGAGTTCGAACTCTCCGTGGATTGAGCTTGGCGCAAAGATATGAGTGCCATCTTGTAGAGCTTGCTTTGCTCTATCCAATGGTAATTTGAAGCCTATGTAAGAATGAAAAGTGTATGACTTATTGCGGTTGAAATTCAAAACGTGCATTAATTATGAATCAACCTAATATAAAGCTGAAAGTCTGTTTGTCTGTCTGCATGTTGTATGTCTGTATGTGTGTATGTATGTTCCGAATAGAAAATTCCATTTTTGAACTGATCCGGACCGAACTTGGCGCACATACACTTTATGGCGGGGCGGGTGTCGCAGGCTACTTTTCGTCATCGTTCGATATCAATTTTATCGATTTTTTGCTTTCGACTAAGTTCGACATACGGAGCTGGGAGTTGGTACAGAAGATAAGTGGGCATGCTGATTACGAAAACAAATTAGTTTTTAGAGTTATCTATTACCTTTATCGATTTTACCGTTTTGCAAAGCTAGAGCTACGGGATTGGGAGTTGGCACAGGGGTGAGTGGGCATGCTGATACCGAAAACAAAGGAGGGTAGGGAATTGACATGTAGCAGTGGGCACAGAGAAAGGTTGGGCGGAGCTGGGTATGCCAGCTAGTACATATATAAATCTGTATGTATGTTTGTATGTCTACATGTCGTTATATGTGTACGTATGTTCCAAACAGAAATTTTTATCTCTGAATCGATCCAGACCTAACTTTGCATATTACAGTATACACAGTTCGGGGCGGGGCGGGTGTCGTAGGCTACTTTTCGTTATCGATCGATACCGATTTTACCAAATTTTGCAAAGTTTGAGCTGGGCCGTTTGGTACAGGAGGTAAGTGAGATTGTTGAGTACGAATATACTATTGACAGAGCCGGACGGAGCCGGGTTTGCCAGCTTGTAAGATATTAGCAATGATAGAAGTTTGTTAGTTTTACGAAATTAGCAGCATAAAAACGGAACAAAAACGGGTTGAACTTTTGAAACCTCATTATATCCATTTTTGCTATCATCTCATTTAGGCATTCGCTTCTCTGTAAATATCAGCCGTCCGTCGCGTGGGTACATCCTTGAAGTTTACGGCACTCATTTCCAGCTTCCTGATCTCGGCCCAATCGGTATGGAAATTTTTATGTTTCTTAAAAACAAGAAAAGATCATGCTGGATGAAGATCATTGCATGGAGTAAGAAAAACTTAGTTTTTGATTTACATATTCTTCTGCAAACCTTAAGTAATTGCTTTCAAGTTTTTTGAAGCATTAATTTTTTTCATTTTCCCCAACAGGAAGAGGATTGACAGATATCGTTACTCATGCATATCATCTGCCATGGTTCCTCTCATGTCCTAGCCCTTACTTCTTCTCTCCCCCGCTCTTCAGGTGTAGGCATCGTAACAGCTCGATTTTTGAGATTACTCAAAACCGCATACGTTTGTTTTTTACGAATGCGCATACTTATGAAACTTGCAAAATCTAGAAAACACATAAGTATGGATCATGTGCTACTTCAGCCATTGTTGCAAGACTGCGTGAGTACCGGTGAGCTCTACTGGAAAATAAAACGAACTATGGCGTTTTCTTCCCTTTAATCCTAGCTATCAAGCGTTTACGGCTTTCTGAAAAATCAAAATCAGTTATCTGGTGCTCAAGCAAAAGAGATTCACTCAGATAAAAAGAGAATCACCCTTTAAATAGCAATCGAATCTTTTGAGATTATGGAAGGAGTGGTGAAGTTTATTTGTAAAATTTATGGGGTTAGTAACAGAGTGCAAATAAAGGCAAATGTTATGGAATGAGGCACGGAATGATGAAGTCATTAATTGCCCTTCAAATTCAGGAGCTAATGGCTTGGCAAATCCTCGTGATTTCGAGACTCCAGTCGCATGGTTTGAAGACAGTGACATGCCTTATCAGATTTACAACAAGTATCAAGGGTCCTTCTTTGTTGCAGAGCAGGTTTGGCTTTATTGAACGGAGACTTTTTTCGTTCACAAGTCTGGTCTTCCGTACCTGAAAAACTCGTATGCTTTGGAGATAACAGAGATGTCAAAAAAATGCTTACTCCATATGAAAAAGTGAATATTGGTCTTCCACAGGAAAGCGATGACTGGTGAGCGAACCAGTCGCTGCCGAACATGGGCGGAAATACTCGGCTGACCTCACCCATCGTCGACAGGCCTGCACACGAATATGCTATATGATATCATATCTGGTATTGTCGTCATCAGCATGCTCACTTATGCTCCCCCCCCCTCACCCCTCCATTGCCCCCCCCTTCCCTGTACCACTTCCCAGCTGCTTATCCCAAGTTTTGCAAAAAGAAAATCCGATGAAGTCGGCAAGTGAATTTTTTAACTCTGAAGATGACTACTGCACTCGCGGTCAGCATGCTCAACACCCTACACTGCTCCTTGCCCTCCAGCTCATAGTTCAAAGAAAACTGATGAGGTTGATCAATATGTAATTTTTCAAGTGAGTGTTACTTTCGTAATTAGTATGTTTGTTGATCTTCCGCACCTACCCGAGGACCCCAGCCCCAAGTTTGCGAAACATCGATAAAATCGATAACAAGGACAGAGTGAGAATCATGTTTGTCTTGTTTAGCTGACAGCCAAGAATAGCAGTACTCTTCGTTAGTCCGGCCAACATTTCGGTGTCGTCACCTAAACGTTAGGCTGACTAAAATAGTATATTGCTAATTTTGGTTGTCAGCTGAAGAAGACGAACACAAATATGAAACAAATAACCAACTTATGCTTAGACTCATCAGTAATCGAGGTAGAGTCTTGCAGCAGAAATATTGTTTTTTTTTAATATTATCTGCGAGCGTGCGCTGCACGCATTCACTTTAAAGGAGACTAATGAATGGATCCGAAACTACAGAGTGACTTGCGTAGGGGTAAGCGCAAAACCAGGCCAGTGCATTATCCCTCTTTATTTACTCCGGTACCAATTATTCGTCCAAAAGAGAAGAACTTGCTTGACACTGTGATGAATATCGGATCCTGATTGCACGGTCGTAGTCGCGCTCCGTCGCTACACCGCTCATCCTCTAAATTTGACAAAAGTACCGAGTAGTTTTACACTTGATTGTCTTGATTTCTACCTGGGAGACAAAGTCTTCGAATAAAATTTCTACGAGCTCTCCTTTGATGTCAGTTGAGATGAGAAACGCCTAAAGCTATTGCTAGATATATCGTGCGGCGGCACCTGATTATAAAAACCAATTTGAGATCATAAAAAAATCATGAAAACCAATCTGAGATCCAATCAAAATCGCCATTCTTTGGGTAACATTCTATTGAGCTGACTTCGATTTTTTGAGACCCGAAATGGTGCAAGGTGGCACTCTGCCACCAGGACCAGAGGTGAACCAAATAAAAAACGCCATAATTTTGCTTTTTATTCACTTGACTTTTAGAAATTTTTTAAACAATTCGTCCTTCAATTCAAAGTCTGGCTTCTCGTAGTGAATACATCCCACTCTTTGTCGCATTGTCCTTCTACACTTTTCGATTACAGAAAGCCACCGTTTTGCATAGCAGTCTCCGGAGGGCTGACCGATAAATCCATCTGCATATCCTCACGGATAAAAGGCGGTTCCTAAAACTAAAAATCTCAGCAAACATTTAGCAGTTCCAAGTTTCCGGAAATATATATTCCGTTTGGGCTATGCATTTTTTCATGTTGGTGGCTTAGTTTGGCGCTAATTCTAGGACCATTCGCCATTTGACGTAGTCGCATGGCACGGAAACTATACTCCATACAAGTACGATTTGAGGAAGTTCAATGTTATCAACACGGTCTCATTCGATCATTGTGTAAGTCGAAACAAGTGCGGCAGTCATTTAAAACAACCTTTTTTATGACATCCTCCACTCTTTATTCAAGTTGTTGAGCTTGGTTTTTACATACTTTTCGATTCAAAAATGGGATGCCTTTTCCCTTGGGCTAACTTTGATTAAGCCGACCATTCTGATTGGGTGTTCTGACATGACAGTTTATTTAAAATTGCTCTACAACGGGCTTCCCATTCAGGACCCATCCATTTTTACCGTGCTCACCGCGCCATCGACCAAACCAGGCATCGCGATGGCTGATTTTGTCATTTTTCCTCCTCGCTGGGGTGTAGCTGAAGACACCTTCAGACCTCCATATTACCACAGTAAGACTACTGCTCTATTTGTTTTTTTTCACCAATTTCTATGCAGGAAACTGTATGTCGGAGTACATGGGCCTAATCGTCGGTAGCTACGAGGCAAAGGAAGGAGGATTTCGTCCAGGGGGTAGATTTGTCTATTATTTTGAATCTGAAGATATTCTCTCATTCTTCTAGGAGCATCGTTGCACTCGATGATGACACCACATGGTCCTGACGCCAGTTGTTATGAGAAAGCCTCCAAAGATGAGCTAAAACCACAACGCATTGCTGAAGGAACAATGGTTAGTTTGGATTTTTGAGATCATGGTTGGTCGTTGTAAAGTCGACGAGACTTTCTGAACACTCATCTTGAACACAATATGCCCTTTCCAGTCGTTCATGTTCGAAAGCTCTCTCAACATGGTCATTACGGAGAAAGCTAGACATGAAAACGTGGACAAGGACTATTATAAAGATTGGCAGCAACTGAAAAAATACTTCAATTGGCCTTCGTAAGTCTATATGCCTCATAAAGATTACTAATGCTCGGCCCGTTTAATGTATATAGACCTGTGAACCTGATTTTCTTCCTTTGTTCTCCAGGTTATTGCAGAAAAACGAGCAGCAAAAGGATCTATGTTTGTCCCAAGGCGGGTAGAACGAAGTAGCCTTTTGGGATTTCTCAGACCGCTTAAGTTCCGTTCGTTACAACATGGAACTTTCTTTGTGAGGAAAAATTATGGATCCATTATGGATTCACCGCGAAGCATCCATTTAGATGAATGCAATCATATGGCACCTTCTCGGAAAAAGCATGTATATACCACATCAAAAATGAAATGATCACCCAATTTTGCGGTTCAAATTTCTGAAAAGCTGCCGCGATGCCCTGTGTTCTACAAGACAATCAGGCCACCAGTAGTATTACTGCATGGAAGTTGCATTAGAACTTTTCGATTAGAAAACTAGCGTGCATATGCGAGGAGCACGAAAATGCTAAACGGGAGTTAGGGCATGCATACGTGCGTATGCACAAGGTCGTCAACGTGTTGATCTACGGACAGAGAGGAACTTTTTCAAAATGTTTTGTTCATATTCATAACAAAACATTCTTTCAATCTTTTCAGTTTATTTTTAAGGTGTCTCAGTTCCCATCCGATCTGGGGTGGTGTTTATCAATCTCCTATATGGGAGAGTTCTCGTACAGTAACAACCCGTATAGGCGGGCCACTGGCGCGCCCGCGGTACACGAAGCCGAGGCGGGGCGGTATTTATCAATCTCCCACTCGCTCTTCGGAACATTATTAAGGAGTGCCCGGACAGGCGAGAGCGCCAATTCCGTGATTTATCAAAATTGAAAATGTGGTCCGATCTGGCAATTGGCATGTCGGGCACGGCAGTCGCGCACTACGCTGCCCGACTGCCGTGCCCGACGAGCCCGATCACCAGTTTGGCTTCAGATATCGCGGGCGCCAGTGCCCGCCCCTGTACGGGCTGTCCCTACAGGAACCCCTTCCTATACAGAAGGTTGATAGGTAGCGCCCCTGGTGATCGGGCTCCTGTTTATTGGAGAATATGGTCCGATCTGACAAGTTTGGCCATGTCGGGCAGGACAGTCGGGCAGCGGAGCCCGATTTGTCAAGATCAGGCTCTGCTCGGATACTGCCCCTTGCGAACAAGGATAGATTTTCTGTTTTTTGACAAGGCGTTTAGTTTGCTATATTGCCTTGATGCTTGGATACAGCTCTGATCATTTATTTGAAAATGATTCTTTCAAACGTTGGGAAATCTCTAATTTACTCGTGTGCTTTCAGTGCTCTATCTAACGTACCGATGCTATCTCAGTAGTTGATGGAAGACGGTCAATTCAGGATTAGAAACCGGAAGAATATATAGTTTCCCGCATTTTCGATAAACAGTTTTTTCTATCTCTTGGTAAATAAAAGACGTGCCAAGTTCGCTTATCTTTTTCTTTTGTTATATCATGTCTTCTTTTTTCAAATTTTTTTTCGCTTGTGCGACTCTCGCCTCGTTTATCTGCATCCTTGATTTACATGTTATGAACTTTTCACTGGAATAGGCAGACCATCATGTTATCGAATACGTACCGATGCTGTTATGTTTTTAGTTAACCAGAAATTATAGTGCATCGGAAAGCACGCAGCCCTATGAATGCTTCAGTCATTGGTACTGCAACATCGTCTAATGGCAGCGGCTATGCTAAATACCAGATCCGGTCATCGGGTTGGTTGAAGGGCTTCGATGTTTGACATAACTTATTTTTTCCATATTTTTTAATTTTTCTTCGCAAATTACTCTAGGAGCAGCTGTCTCCTTCACTCCATTCTTCAATCGGTAGTTTATGAAAAAAAATTTGAGCAGGAGGACTAATACATGAGGCATTTAGCCCTAAATGCTTTTCAGATTTAGGGATACCGCGAGTTCTAGCTACCGAGTCTGAAGTATTTACACTGGATGATCAAGATGAAGAGCGACGAGTCAATGGGGATGTACACTCAACGTAAATTAAGGAATTTTTGCGAAGTATTTTGAGCCTGATTCTGTTTCTTTAGCGAAGAAACTGAGAAAAGCAGATTGTTCGACTGTCCGCTGGATAGTGACGATGAAAAAGAAGAAGCTCAAGATGAGCTTGTCAATAATGTGCGTCAGCACAGTAAGTTTTGTGCGTTGCTACACCCTAGACATCCTTCAAACTGCGCCAGTACCCGACGTTACCCGTCCGAACCCACCGGAACTAGCGTATATGGAATATGTGTCGTCGAGTTATGTATTGACTATACTTGGGGAAATTGGAAATTTTCTTCGAATATTCGATTATTGAATATATTCGAAGGTTTAGAATTTCGAATATTCGACTACTGAATAATATCTGAAAATCGATAATTTCGAGTATCGAATATCGAATATCATCCGAGTTTCAAATATCATCCGACTCGATTATCATTCGATTTTCGAATATTATTCGAAAAATTAAATGTCTATCTGACATGGTAACATGGCCAAGCACATAGTTTATGTATTGTGGGTATTTGAAGTTCCTTCTATGCGACTATTACTCTGCAATGCATGAAGTCTTCATTTTTTGCAAAGTTTGAGCTACGGTGCTGGGAATTAGCTGGCACAAGGGGTAAGCGAGCATCATGCTGATTACTAACATATCGGGAATAGGGAGTTGGCGTACAAGGATAGGAATGAGACACTTATCATAGTGTTTCGACAGTGCCGGGCGGAGCCGGGTAAGCCAGTTAATTCCTAACAAATATAGAAGATATAGGAGGGAATCGCTGCGAGTTGCAGATTCTCCGCGCGCTGCGGCGTACTGTAAAGCCGTGCGACGTCGTGTAAATGCACGAGTCGGGGCAGTCGTCCTCAAATTTTCTTTAACACCCTGCCGTGGCTAGCGAAAAATCTATAGCAGTTACATACCGCGACACGGGAAATGGCGCGTAACGATTACTGTACAGAGGCGCGCCAGGACCACAAAACATATAGGCCCGTAGTAAACGCCACTTCACTTCGGATGATCTTAGCTGAGGGGCTGAGTTGAGTTATTTGAGATAAACTGACTATCACTCTCACATGCTTAAGAATGCGACCTGATCTGAAGGGTTAACGTCAGGGCTTGTGCCGCGATGAATTCACCTGAAATCCGTAAGAGCAGCCTCGATTTTGAGATGAATTAACCGAAATAGTGTGCAAGGGATGAGACGCAGAGAAGGATTCCGTAAGTTGTTCGTGAATAACTTACGGGACATCGTGCTTGACGTATTGTTGCAGTACAAGAACGCGCAAAACTGCACAATACCGGTGCTTAAAAAGGAAAGGATCAATGAACAGCTGATTTCGGCAGAAAACAGAAGAGTAGGTTTTTTCCTTTTTGCAGAGTTTGCTTAGGTTTTTTCTACAAAAGTTACTCAGAGCGACAATCTCTTTATTTAATTCCATTCGATTTTGTCCCTACTTCCTCAATTTTGGATGAAATTTTAGTAAAAAAAACGCAGTTTTGTTTTGTGCATTCATTTGGTTTGTGGATTCCTTGATAGCGGCCGTCATCGATTTTCTTCGATAGTGGCCGCTATCAAAGATTGCTCAGTGTTGCGCAAAAATTTGCCAATGTCCGGCGACGAGCCACGGTCGTGCGGGCTGAGTACCAGACACATACCTGTTTGACCAAATCTGCACCAGAGGTATAGGTGTTTCCTCTTTGATAGCGCGCAAGATTTGTATGCCTGAAAAGCGATCCGCATCTAGATCAATAGCTCGCGGGATGCTAGACCGAGGCGCCATACGATCAACTCAGGTCCGTTCAGGGTAGGTCCCCTGAAGGGGGTTTACTATGGGGCATACTCTCCTCCTTAGAGCTGTAGCCTGATAGAAACTCTTGTAGTGACGTGCTGTGCTTATGGAGTTCGATCACTCAGTGGTCATCGGATATTCGAACTTCGATAGTACTTTGAATTGATGGCCATCGAATATTCGACTTTCGAATAATATTCGGAAATAAAATTTTCAAATATTCAACTTTCGAATTTTATTCGAAATCTCAGATTTTCGAGTATTCGACTTTTCAAACCATTCGCGTTTGAATGATTTATTCGAGTGATCGTAATCATTCGATTCGGTCCCAAGTAGCGAATAATATCCGAATTCGAAAATTTTTGAATATTCGACTATCAATTAATATTCGAAAATTTGAAATCTCGAATAATCGACTATCGAATAATGCTCGAAAATCGCAAATCTCGAGTATTCGACTATAGAATAATGCTCGAAAATCGCACATCTCAAATCAACTTTTATCATTCGATATTCGAGTATTATTCGAAAATCAAATGCCTATGTGATATGTTAACATGGCCTAGCATATAGATTACAAGTATTGTAGCTTTGTAGTTCCTTTTTATGCTACTACTATTTTACTCTCTACTCTTATCCGAGTGCGAATGAAGAACAGTGTGCACTAGACCTCGGAGTGACTCACAAACAAAATGGCTGAAAGCTAGACCACGTCCTGCCATGTAACAAAAATGCTTCATTGTCTTAGGGCGTACTTAAAAGAATTGCACTAATGATTGAAACGAAACACGATGCTAGGTCGAGACGTTGGTGTGTTTGATAGAGAATGAACATATATGTTATATGTTTACCCCTTTGTGTTAGGGTGAATATATATGTTACCAGTGCGTCACCTCTGCTTCGCAGAGCGCACTGGTCTTACTATCTGTACGCTTTACTCATTTCCGCACAATAGTGACATTGAAACTCACCGCGCTATGCGGACTATCACGAATGACTTGTAAACAACTATTCATTCCGAAAGCTTTTTTATATGAGATCGGTAATTTCGCATGAACGAAACTTTTGCCATAAGAACAAATGCAGATTTCAATCGGTTTTTGGACTTTTCACAGCTTGGTATTCGCCATAAGATGCAATAACCAACGTGGGCCATATCTCTGTGCAAAAATCTTCTCAAATGATCGGGTAAAACCTTGGCAAATTGAACATTTATGCAACCTATACATTTTTGCGCCGTTTTCGCGAAGTAATAAACTTTGGTTAATTTTTTTAGGCTAGAGTCCATGGCTTGCATACTAACTTGTGAAACTATCCTTGATTTTGCAAAAAGTCGTGCTACACGCTCAATTTTACTGGCCAAAAGCCAAGTGGATCCGTTAGAGGCGCATTTTTTGAGGGATCCACGCAACGGATCCGCTCGTGCTTTTGTATAGTGGAATCCCATGTAGGTAGCATGTGCTATGCAAAATTTGGGCTCAGGAGGTTGGCTGGAACACGTCCTACGAATTTCGTGACAGACAGACAGACTTACACACACACACACAAAAACACGTAAACAACCTTAGCCCGTTATTATAAGTTATGATATTATTACATCTTATATATAAAGCTGAATGTCTGTTTGTCTGTATGTCTGTCTGTATGTCTGTCTGTCTGTATGTCTGTGTGTACGTATGTTCCGAATAGAAAATTCCATTTCTGAACCGATCCGGACCAAACTTGGCACACATACACTACGGGCCCCGGCGGGTGTCATAGGCTACTTTTCGTCATCGATCGATATCGATTTTATCGATTTTTATCGATTTTTTTTTGCTGAGTTCACCTACGGGGCTGGGAGTTGGCACAGGGGGGTAATCGAGCATGCTGATTACGAACACAATATTAGTTTTCAGGATCGTCCATTACTTTTATCGATTTTATCGATTTTTTTTGTAAAGTTTGACCTGCGGGGCTGGCAGTTTGCACAGGGGGGGGGGGGGGGTAATCGAGCATGCAGATTACGAACACAATATTAGTTTTCAAGATCGTCCATTACTTTTATCGATTTTATCGATTTTTTGAAATTTTGAGCTAGGGGGCTGGAATTTGGCACAGGGGTGTAATCGAGCATGCTGATCACCCCCCTTGGGGATGATCAGCATGCTCGATTACCCCCCTGTGCCAACTCCCAACCCCGTAGCTCAAACTTTGCAAAAAAATCGATAAAATCGATAAAAGTAATCGATAATCCCGAAAACCAATATTGGTCGGAATCCCCATGCTCGATTACCCCCCTGTGCGAACTCCCAGCCCCGTAGCTCAAACTTTGCAAAAAAATCGATAAAATCGATAAAAGTAATCGATAATCCTGAAAACCAATATTGTATTCGGAATCCCCATGCTCGATTACCCCCCCTGTGCGAACTCCCAGCCCCGTAGCTCAAACTTTGCAAAAAAATCGATAAAATCGATAAAATCGATATCGATCGATGACGAAAAGTAGCCTATGACACCCGCCCGGGCCCGAAGTGTATGTGTTCCAAGTTTGGTCCGGATCGGTTCAGAAATGGAATTTTCTATTCAGAGCATACGTACAGACAGACATACAGACAGACATACAAACAGACATTCAGCTTTATATTAGATCGGTGCAAAAGTTTTGTCAGTTTTTGCAATCCATCGGCAACCACGCTAGAACGAAGATAAACAAAGACTTCAAAAGGTATTCAATGCAAAATTCTTTCCTCTTTCTAGCTGCTAAATTCCAGTTGTGTTTCGTTGCGAGAGTGACGAGATATTTGCTGCAAATTACAACTACTCGTTTTTACCATGTCCAACTTTCGCTAATTTTCAAAATTTTCGTATGAGACTTTCGAAGGAGCCCTGATAGACAGCAGATAGGGCTAACCTTTCGCCAACTTATGCAATTTTTTCTTCTTATCAGCTGCTTTTCCAGATTTTTGCTAAGTAATTTTTTAAAAGTCTTGTGTTTTGGAAAAATTGCATAACCTGTTATTGCACCAAACACTGCAAAACCTACAGAAAACTGAGGTTTTAGCACATGATTATTTCTACCGCTACCATTACAAATTAAATGAGCGATTTTCGCTTTAAATTATGAAGATTTTGAAACATAGGTTACGCCTGTGCGCACTCCTGAAATTGAGAAATACTGCGATTTTCCCCACAAATTTCGCCTGTCTCGCAAAAAAAGACAGGTATTAGAAAGAGGAGAAGAATCTGCATCGAATGGTGACTAAAGTGTTTAGCATTTTATGTTCTACGAGATCAAAATAGGCTGAATGTTTAACTTGGTCACTTCAAAAAATAAATCGTAGAAATTCTGAAAAACAAGCTGTAGGGCTACAAAAA